TTACCTATTGGATTGCACAGATTCACGTATGAGGCATATGATTTGCAAGTATTTTTCAGTCTGTTGCCTAATTTTTTAAAAATAGGATTCTCTATTTGAATTTAGCATCCTTACCTACCTACTATTAGCATTTGAACAGGAGTGTAGCACTAGCCTTCTTTTTGCCAGTGACCCTGCAAGGTTACTAGCCAATGTTGGCAAGTTATGTGTGGAATAAAGGAACACTTGGGACACTGAATTCAGGGATGAATATTTGACATTATTAAGGATACAGACTTTGATTACTAATGAATGCTCCATGTAGGTGATCAGTCAGCAAAAGTTAGGGAAAAACAAGAACAATGGCTGTTTTTATTTGTACCCTTACCTGTAGAGAATTTGTAAAAAGTGGTTTACGAATGACATTTTAAGAAAAACTATATAGGATTACCAGCTTGGGTGGGGGTGAGAATCTAGAAATGAATGAAAGCAATTGAGTAAGTAATGTGATAGATCACATTGGCAAATATTACGAGGGTTTTTAAGGAGTTTCTTGCTTTGTAAAGAGACTACTAACTACACTAACCACAAGGTCAGCGGTCCAAATCCACCAGCTGCTCCATGGGAGAAGAGACTAGTGTAAGTAAAGGTCTGTAGCCTCAGAAGTAGCACATAGGGTTGCTATGAGCTAGAATCAATTAGATGGTAGTAGGTTTGGTTGCTTTGGCCCGGCTTTATCATGAGGAATATGTCAACCTCAGTTGAGCCCATCAATTCAATCCCACAACATTGAGAGCAACTAAACTGAAGGACTTAAATTACAATAGTATTTACTCAATTTTGTTCCAGTTCCAATTGCACATGAGTTCCATGAAAATGCCACGAACTGCCAAATGAACAAACAAGTCTGTCTCGGAAGAACAACAGCCAGAAGAAAGCTTCTTAGGGGCTAGGACGGCGAGACTTCGTTTCATTTACTTTGGACATGTTATCAGGAGACACCAGTCCCTGGAGAAGGACATCATGCCTGATAAAGTGGAAGGGCAGCGGAAAAGGGACTCAAACATAACAATTGTGAGGGTGGTGGCGGACCGGGCGGTGTTTTGTACTGTTGAACAGAGGGTTACTATGAGAACCTACTCAACAGCACCTCACACCAACAACTTCCTCTGATCCTACACTCCAGGCTTAAGTCAGTCAGCTCTCACAGTTAAAAAGCACAGTGCTCCCGCCTGCTAAGCCTGCTCAAGATTTTAGACGCTAGCTGAAGCTTGGAGATGCCATTGGCCTGCTGGCTACAAATTCAAGGGTTCCCTCTATCCACTCTTGATAGCTTATAGATCCCCAGGGCCTCTCTTTACTAATGACCTGCTATCTCAAGTTCAGTAGTTCTCAAAAATGACACACAACTCAGGATAATGCTATACTGACTTTCAATGTTTCATTATAGCAAAACGGATAACAAATGAAGCAATACCTAGAGTGAGGTCTTGGAGGAGCTTCCATGGCTCACAGTGGAATGAATGTGCTACCTTCCCATGCCTTTCAGTAACCAGGAAGTCCATGGCGCTTCAGTGTCCAGACCCTCCATTGGGCCTTTTTAGATACTGTGTAGGAACCCTCATGGCACAGTGGTTAATTGTTTGCCTGCTAGCTGAAAGGTGGGCTGTTTAAACCCAACATCCACTCATCTGGAAAAAGAGCTCTCAAAAAGGTGTACACCCTTGGAAACCCTATGGGCCATTTCTACTCAAGCTTGGAAATCACTCTGAGTTAAAATCTGGTATCACTGAGTATTTTGTGGTTGTGTTTGAATCATACCTCTTTTCTGAAGTCAGCTGATGGCACATGAAGGGTCTTTTTGATATGGGCAGCCCTGGCCCCCTGGTGGCGTAGTGGTTAAATGGGCTGTGATCCATGGGTTAGCAGTTCAAAATCACCAGTGGCGCCTTGGGAGAAAAACGGACTTTTCTGAGACTGAGTTACAGTCTCAGAAACTCACAGGGGGAGTTCTACCTTGGTCTATAGCAGTGGTTCTCAACCTTCCTAATGCCATGACCCTTTAATATAGTTCCTCATGTTGTGGTGACCCCCCACCACCATAAAATTATTTTTATTGCTACTTCATGACTATAATTTTGTTACTGTTAGGAATCGGGCAACCCCTACGAAAGGGTCATTCGACCCCCGCAAAGGGGTTGGGACCCACAGGTTGAGAACCACTGGTTCATAAGGTTTCATGAGTCAGCGTCAACTCGAAGGCAGCGATTTTGGTTTTGGTTTTTGATATGAGTCCCCTCATGAACAGAACATATTTAGGTAGATGTGGTCTGGAGACCTTGTCAAAGACTCTCAAATTGGAGAATTTGCAAGGTTTTAGAAGTTATCTCTCAAGGAACCCAGATGGCTTAGTGGGTTATGCATTGGGCTGCTAACCACAAGGTCTGCAGTTTGAAACTACCAGCCGCTCCACTGGCGAGAGACTGTAAACAGTTACAGTCTCAGAAACCCACAGGGACACATCTACTATGTTCTGTAACTATATGTTAAAATTGCCTTGACAGCAGTGAGTTTAAGTTTAAGAAGTTACCTCTTAGGAACCAAGGACAGAGACCAAAAGGGGTAAATTTAATTGTGTTTTTGTTATATAGTTGTTAGGTGCCCTTGAGTCTATGCCAACTCATAGTGATGCTGTGTACAACAGAACAAATACTGTCCAGTCCTCTGCCATCCTTACAACTTGTATGTTTGAGCTCATTTGTACAGTCAGTGTCCACCCATCTCATTGAGGGTCTTCCTCTTTTTTTACTGCTCTTCTACTTTCAAAGCATGATGTCTTTTTCCAGGAACTGGTCTCTCCTAATACATGTCCAAAGTACATGATACTGATATTTTCTTTCAAGGCAAATTTGTTTGTTCTTTTGCCGGCCCATAGTACTTTAAATATCTTCACCAGCACTATAATTCAAGTGCACTCATTCTCCTTTGGATTTCCTTATTCACTGTCCAATTTTCACATGCATATGAGGTGATTGAAAATACTATGGCTTGGCTCAGGTGCACTGTAGTCCTCAAAGTGACAGTCTTGCTCTTCAACACTTTACAGAGGCCTTGTACAGCATATTTACCCAATGTAATATGTCCTTTGATTTCTCAACTGCTTCTTTCATGAGCACAGGGGCCCTGGTGTAGTGGATTATAAATTGGACTGCTAGGTTAGTGGTTCAAACCCACCAGCTGCTCCACAGGAGGAAATTGAGGTTTTCTGTTCCCGTCAAGATTTAAAACCTTGGAAACCCAAAGGGGCGATTTTATTCTGCCCTGTAGGGTTACTGTGAGCTGGAATTGACTCAAAGGCAGTGGATGACGTTGCCTCTGTGAGCATGTCCCTACTGAGGGCTGCAGGCCTTGATCTTCCTCAGTAAGTGCTTCAAGTCCTCCTCTCATTGAGCAAGCAAGTTTGTGTCATCTGCACAACATAGCTTCTCACATTCTTTATTCAGAGTGAATAAGTATAACGAAAGTATACAACCCTGTGTATACTTTTCCTGATTTTAAACCACTCACCAACTGCAAAGCAAACACTACCATTGAGTTGAGTTCAACTCATAGCAACCCAAAGAACAGAGGAGAACTACCCTGTTTGGGTTTCTGAGGCTGTGAATCTTTATGGGAGTAGAAAGCTTCATCTTTCTCAGAGTGGTTGGTGGGTTTTAACAGCCTTCCTTTCGGTTAACAGCACAAATGAGCACCTGATAGTGCTTCCAGTGGGTTGATTATAATTAACTAATTAAGTACAGGTTTGCTTGAGGATGTAGAGAAATTGGATCTCTCGTGCACTGTTGCTGGGAAAGGTAAAATGTTTTTTGGAAAACAGCAGTTCCCAAAACGGCACACCTTGGGTTACCTTATGACCCAGCAATTCAACTGCTAGGTCAGACTCAAGAGAGTGGAAAACATATTTCACCAAAAATGTACATACAAATGTTCACAGCATCATTATTCATAATAGCTAAAAATTAAAACAACTCAAATGCTCATCAACTGCTGATGAATAAACAAAATGTGGTGCAGTCATACAGTGGAATTTTATACAGACATGAAATAAGGAATGAAATACTGATACATACTGAAGCCCAGCTAAATACCAGAACTGTCATAGTGAGTGAAAGGTACCAGACATAAAAAGGCCCACGTCTTTTCTGGAACAGGGAAATCCATAGAGACACAAAGCCGATGAGCAGTTGCCAAGGAACAGGAAACCAGGCAAATTGGGAGTGGCACCTTTTCATCTCTTTTTGGCCATTTTTATGTCTTCTTTGGAAAAATATCTATTCAAGTCCCTTGCCCATTTTTATTTTCAGATTTTAAATTAATCTTATTTTCCTTTTGACTTTGGAGGTGCTGCCTAATTTTTATTGTTTTTGGTGAAAACGCAATAAAATCTACCACTTGGCTTACTGCTCAGATACTGGAGAAGCCCTCAAGGTGATCGTCCTGAGGCACCCCGTGTGGGCGGAGCTCGGCTCGGCCGCTGTAGAATAATCAACCATTTAAGGTCAAAAGGGCAGCATTTATGGAAGGACAGGCGAGGGTTCAGAAAGGAGAGATGGGACAAGAAACCGAGTGCATTGAGGAGATTGCAGTAGATGAGTTGAAACTGTGTATGAACTGTTGAATGTAAAACTGATGAGCTACTTTATAAACCTAATTCAGAATAAAAACGATTTACCTCCTGCCCACATACACACACACTCCATTTCTAGACTTAATTGATAAGTGACATTAAGGTCTTCACATCATGTCAACAACTTCATTATATCTGTTCTAGCTATTTCTCCTTCATTTACTTTATTTCCCTGATAAAGCTGAAATTGGTCCCAGGGAAATTGTATGAAAAGTTTACACCTTATTTTTCATCATCTTTGTATGAAGAGTTTAATTCTAGAGATGTTGATTTATATATACTCGAAATAGTTTGCTTTCTTTTCATTTGAAAGAATGCCTTTTTCTTCTTACAGATTAGCAAGACATCTCCAAAAAGAGGCCCAGGCTCAACACAATAATTCAGAATTCACAGAAGAACAAAAGGTACTATGAAATATTCTCTTGGTATATCGGATCCCAAATGGAAAGCCTTCTGTGTTTTGAGTCCATTAAGAACAATACAAACAACAAAACCAGCTATGCTTTTAAATGAACGAAACTGGTTATATCTTGTCTGAGTCAAGTTTTTATCATTAAGTGATCCAGAGGTCCCACATGATCGATCACTTCAGGAGTTTGGGTGAATAGTTTAGCCCAGCACAAGCTGTCCAAACTTTTTAAACTGTTGTGGAGGCCATCCACACTTTGCTTAGGGGAGGGGTCAGGAGTGACTCAGAGACTGGAATTTGTGTAGCATCACTAGGAGGAAATAGAAAGCATTAAGCACACTTGTTTAATCTTGAGTTTTCTATGTTTCTCCACCTTCTTTTAATAAAAACTAGCAAGCAAGCAAGCAAAAGAACCCAAAGACGTGGGGAAAAACCAAGTTGAGAATTAGGCATAGGAATCCAGTAGCAAAATGAATGTGTTATCTTGTAAAATATTCCAGTGGTGCTCTTTCTCCTTGAATTAACTGATGTGTCAAGTTGGTTCCCTGTTACTAGAAATTATAAATAGAGATCCTTTAAGAAGCTTTATTCTAGAGGAGTGAGGAGAAATGAGAGAACAATTTCCATTTCTCAGGACTCAAAAGTATCTAATGTTAAGTCAGTTTTTAATCTTGTAAGTAAGCAACAAATTGTCAAGCTTTCTCTTACATATTTATGTGATAAACCTCATCTCTTAAGAAAAGACAGTGTGAAAACCATGATGACCTAGTTTGCTTTTATTAATTAAGAGTATTTTTTTTCATAAAGTGTAGGTAGAGGGTGAGAGTGACATTATGTATGCATTTTAAGCACGCTTAAACATATTTAGGAGCCCTGGTATGGAGTGAGTTATGCATTGGGCTGGTAATCTCAAGGTCAGGAGTTAGAACCAACCAGCTGCTCTGTGGGAACAAGATGAGACTTTTTACCCTTGTAAAGAGTTACAGTCTTGGAAACTCCCAGGGGCAGTTCTGCCTTGTTCTATAGGGTCACTATGAGTCAGAATCAACTTAATGGCCAGTGAATTGAGAAACACATACTTAGTTTTGATTCCATAAAATGAGTTCAGAGTTGGCAGCAGGGAGAGCATCCAATGAATGGTTAGGCTTAGCCATACTTCTTACATTAATTATTATTATCTTGAATTTATGTATTTTAACTTTTTAGGTTCAACTTTGACTAATGTAATGTAGTCCTGGTAGTATAGTGGGCTATGAATTGAGCTTGTGGTTAGCAGTTCAAACCCATTAGTCGCTCTGTAGGAGAAAGATGAGGCTGTCTGTTTCTGTAAAGATTAAAATCTTGGAAATGGAAAGGGACAGGTCTCCTCTGCCCTATAGGGTCACTGTGAGTTGGAATTGATCAACGGCAGTGAGTTTGGTTTGGGAGTTTAGTTTTCTACTTTGAAAAAGAAAAGAAAAAACCTCAGAGCAAACCAGTTTGTTAGAATTAAAAAGGGCATTACAGTCACTGTTAAATATCCACAATAATCTGTTATTTCATGAACTTAGTTGGTCTTTTTGCTTCTTGTTTATTTTTGATATTTATGTGCATTCTGAACACTTTTGATTAGAATTTTCTGTTTATCTGGAACAATTTCTTTTATAAAAGATGCTGTCATCCTTCAAGTAGTGAGAGACTCTTACTTTGGCCTCTGGATCTCCTCAGACTCTGGACTCAGAGACCTGACCAGAGTAGGGTGACCTTTTACCAGAAACCTCCTTAGGGTTAGAATGGGACACTTGCAGTTTTATCCTGGAAAATAAAGTGGCCACAGAGGAAATGATTGATTTGTTTAAGGAAACAAATTACACTTTATTACCTCCATAGGATTTATGAAATTTACCTAGGAATTGATTAGAAAATTGATCAGTTGGCTTCATAGGACTGAGCATTAAAACCTGATTTTTGAAGGTTGGCATTTAATTTGAGAGCTAACAATTTAAATGTGCATAAATTGATAGCTAACTGTATTGTGAATATGAGGGAAAATAAATTTATGAAGTGAATATTTTTAGTGACCTTTTTGTTTTGAGCTGTATGTATGTTTTGTAGTTTTGACACAATTGTTGCTGTGGGACACCTGAGCAATATGAAACTGACTTGAACTTTTATATCAAACTAAAATGATCCAAAACAACAGTAGAGAATGAGCCTTGTTTTATGATGATAATTTTATTTAAAAATTAACCTTTCTTAACAGTTTTTAAACATTTTAAGGCTGAAACTGACTTTTGATAATGCTATCCCACAATGTGTAGACTTTTTCCTTTGTAGCCACCTGACTGTCTGAATGTTTGCAATTTTTCTTTGGATCCAAAGCCACTTCAGAGCAGAAGGATCCAGGAAGCCTAGTGCAGGGTAAAGACCCCAAAACCTGGGGACAGAAGACTTAGTTGTAAACCCTAGCTCCATGTCTGGGTCTCAGTGTCTTCATATATGAAATGAAGGATTTCCCCCAGAAACAAACTCACTGAGTCCAATAGTGGGCTTCTGAGATGGTAACTCTATACAGGCCTAGAAACCAACACTAAAAGATCTTAAAAGTTACCCCTAATCTCCCGATGACCTCTCTTGCTGAAGCATTCACTACCTCCTTTCTTGGAGGCCCAGTTTCTGAGGTATTTGTTATTTATAATACCTGCCTGGAAGGCATTTGTGGGTGCCAGTGGGACTGCAGAGAATGCCTAGGCTGCCTGTCTGGTCCTTGGGCTTGGAGAAGAACTCCCAAATGATTCTGTGCTACATTATGAAAAGAAAGTAGGACATATACATCTAAAGTTTGTCTTTTTGAAATACAAGACAAACTTTCAGTGACCCCAAAAAACAGAAACCCCAAACTCATAGTAGTCGTAGGCCCTATTTGAATGCTACATAAGGAAAAATACCAAAGACTCCAAGTTATTAAATGGTTAGAAAACAAGAATTTCCCACATGTGTTCTAGCGAACGTTGAGTCTGCAAACTTAATGGAATTATATGAACAGAAAGGGTTTGTGACTGCGGCTCAGGACTTTTAATATGCCAATGCGTGTGCTTACCGTTTGATTGGTATGCAGTGTTCCTTTATTTTATTTCGGCAGTATCCCCTTTCCCCTTTGAGAAAATCCATTGGGTTCTGAAAGGAGCCCTGGTGGTATAGTGGGCTGTTAACCTCAAGGTCAGCAGTTCAAAGGCATCAGCATCTCTTTGGGATTTTGGATGATGAGGTTTTCTACTCCTGTAGAGTAAGTTACAGTCTCAGAAACCCACATGGGCAGTTCTACCCTGTCCTACGTGAACACAATGAGTTGGAATTGACATGGAGGCAATGAGGTAGATTTGGGGTTTGGTTTGAGTGTTTTGAAGACCATTTTATAGGAAATTTTGATAGATACACTTACGTCTGCAAACTTAATTGATTGTCAGACTTGACACATAATAAACTAAAGAGAGGAAACTTGATTTTGTTTTCTTCCAAAGAAGAAAACAGATTACCTATTCTCAGCAAAATTGTTTTTTATGTTTTCTATTTTGAATTATAGCTTTATGTTTTTAATATTTTTGTGTCGGTGGCAAATCTTAGAATGATGCCAACCATGCTTTTGTTTGTGGGATAATGAAACTCCAGCTTTTCCAATCTTCAGTATTTCTATAGAGCTTTTTTATGATGCTCTTGACTGTCTGCATCACAGTGAGCTCTCAACAATCTTTGATGAGTAAATGTTTTGCTGGAACTTAGGTTATCAATAGTTATTTATATGTGATGATTATTTAAGATAGATTATCATGACCACATCTTCACAATATTTTAAATCTTGAGATCTCTGAGGCCGAATAGCTGATCTCTCTAAACTTTATTCATTGATGATAAATAGTATAGGAAACCTTCTTATAGATTTTCTATTCATAGTATTCTTCAAGAATTCTGGGGTAAAATCACAGTGCTTATCGTCCTCCTTCATGATTAGTTGCTTTAGCTTTCATTTCATGCTCAATAGTTTTTGTCATTATAACAGCTGGGTGTAGTAGCCAAAGAATGGCTGCCAAAAACTTTCATTCCAGTAGAGTCCCTACTTTGGTGTAGTAAATTTTCTCTTGTAAGTTTCTGGACAGGATAGAACATCCTGTCTCATGAACTTAGAAAGTTTTTCAGTTATGAATCAAGGTTGGTCCTAATGAGAATTCCAGTACTATATGCTAGGTTTGCGTTTAATAGGTTTCACGTGCTCTACGCCCTCCCCTCTCCAGTCATGTAGTTGATGACTGGTTCTTTAGATCTGAGAACTAAGTGAGGATTGATTAAATGAGACGACATTGCTTTAATTGTGTATCTAATTGTAAGCCTACTTCCTTAGGCAAATTGAGTGCATTTTAGAAAACTAATGCAGCTTATTAGTTGTCCATTTTTGTCCCATCTTTTCTTTGTCTCATGACTCTGAGTTGTTGGTCTCCGTAAAGATGACTGAATAAGAAAACTAATATTTTGCCAATGCAGCCATGAATTTCCACTTCTCTGAGGAATTAATTTGAGTAGTTCAGTAATTTAAGCCTTTCTAAAATTAGATCCCACTTCAGTGTGTGGTCTTACTGTACATTAGTTAAAAGTTAATATTTTTTTGCACACATGTCCTTGTCCTTCTTAATTCTTTTGTAACCTTTTTTCCTAAGGTAATTATAGTAGCAAACACTTGATTTTGACATAAATATTAACAACTGAGTGCTGCATTCTTAGTGCTATTTCTGCAGATGAAAATGACAGTGTTTCACTCCTTTTTCATATTAAGATTGGGTGTGGTTCCTTAAAATATTTATGAATAGTGCTTGTTGGTATTCTGCCACACTTCAATCGATTCTGGATAAAAAGTTGCTTTTGCTTAACTTGAAGAAGTGTTTATATTTAAAATAGTTTGGTAGATGACTCAGTTATAAAAAGTCAACTACTTTTTACCTTAAATGTTGTAAACATCAAATCAAATCGATTTATGGTAGAAGGAAAAGGAGTTAACTATGTGTTTTTAAAGATTTGCTAATTGATTCGATTACAGGGGGGAGACTCGAGGTTCTGAGCCTCTTCTCTCTCTTGATTCTTGTCCTGCTTACCAGACAAAATTCAGGTGAGGAATGGCATTTAGACTAGTGTCATAGAAATGGTCATTTGAACTGAAGGAGTGAATGTTTTGAGAATGGTACTTTGTTCGGGGGCAATCCAAGGAAGCGGTAGAATGAAGAGGACCTGCTACCATCGACCACCGTGGGTTGACTTTCTGTAGCATACATACCTCCTTTTCCCATGTATGTGCACCCCTGCATCCCAGAGTTCCTACTGTGCCCTTATCCCCAGTCAGCCATTGTGGGAGTAGTGTGAACATCCTGTCTGTTCCCACCCACACCTTTTCAAGGTTTCTGATCTCTTCTGGAGACCAGATAAAAGAAATTTGTCTTATTTGCCCTGCCCTCCCCCTTCCCTTGTGCTGGGGAGGCACGGGCAAATGTGCTTCTACCTCCCTTTTGTTAGGATTTCATTTATTGTCACTTTCTTCCCCTTTCATCCTCACCCTTTTCCCACTGCCATCAAGTTGAGTCAGACTCACAGTGACCCGATGAGACACTGGGGCTTTTTTTGTTTCTAAGGCCGTAAATCTTTATGGGAGCAGACAGCCTCCTCGTTGTCCCATGGAGCCACTGGTGGATTCCAACTGCTGACCTTGTGCTTAGGAATGAAACTTATGCCACCAGGGCCCCTTTCATAGGATTGTTGTGAGGATTAAACACATTACTGTGTGTAAATCACTAAGGAAAACAGGCCATTTAGTAAATAGTCAATAGGTGTTAGCCATTACAATAATAATGATAATCATTAGACAGCTATTCTTATTTAAAATTACTGATTTTGTCAGATTTTAGTGGTATAGGTAAGCAAAAATTTGAGGCTATGAAATTTTATAAAGAAAAGATTGTTGCTGGTGTCTAGGCAAAAGCTATTTAAGAAAGTAAATAGATATATTCTGAGGTTCTTGAATCCTTTACTACAATCCTGCTGTGACTAAATTGGACTTATGTTGGAATTAAAAACAAATTTTAAAGATTGTGTGGGTAGTTAAATATTGGTATATTTTCCTTGACTAAGAGTCATATGCTTGGTAGTGGTTAACTTTTTCAGTTGTTAAAATCCCATCCTGCCCCCCCCCCCCCAAAGCAACAAAGAAACAACAATTTTTTTAAAAATTACCAGTGTGTTGATTCTGACTAATAGTGACCCTTTTTAGGCTGTAAATCTTTATAGTGCAGTGATTGGTAGTTTTGAATTTAGGAGTGAATGGTAGTTTTGAACCTCTGGCCTTGAAGTTAGCAGTCCAACACATACCCAATAGCACCACCCAACAGCTCCCAGAAGAGCAGTTTGTTGTGGACATAGGAACTGTCTGCAGCCCACTGGTCTAGGCACCATTGGTCAAGATTGTAGTGTTTCCCCTCTTTGTTCTTCATGTACCTTCCCAAGAAAATCAAGTCCATTTGACTAAACTTTTGCAAGTCGTCAATTCTGAAAAGCATGCCTCCCTCTGCTCCCCCCATCCCCAGATACTTCATAGTTCAGGGATTGCAAATATCCTGCATAAATATTTTAGTCTTGGGTTAGGAATTGATTTATTTCTATTAAGAACTCAAGAAATGTTCTTTTGGAAGGACTTGAAAGTCAGATGGGCATAATTCACTTGCCTGTCTTAGGGTCTCATCTTTTTTATTTCCACCTTAGTCACTCATGCTCTGATTCATCATGTACTCTGATTATTGTTTACCTGTAGAGTTAGAATAACCTGATAAATCTCACCTTCAGTGTTTTCCCTTTTTAGGTTCAATCTATATATCCGGTCATCACAACAATTTTCTGCAGGAGTAACTGATAGAGTCACTCGTCAGTTAAAATATTGCAATATAATCTAACGCATTCACATCTTAACTTATACTGCCAAGGCCATTCTAACTTCTAGCAAACCTATCGGACAGAGTAGAACTGCCCCTGTGGGTTTCTGAGACTAATTCTGCATTGAAGTCAGAGCCTTCTCTTTCTCTCGGAGTGGCTAGTGATTTTCAACTGCTGACATATAACTCATCATGCCACTAGGGCCCCTCTTACCATTGTTAAAGTAAGAAAAAAACTCCTTCATTACTTCTGTTCTAAATTCTTCCATTTTAAAAATCCTCCTACCCATTAGGACTTGATTCCTAATGCTGATTCCTGTTTTGTCTCTTCAAGGCATATGGCATAATCAGAGGCCTTCGCCTTTAAAAAAAAATCATTTTATTGGGGGCTTGTACAGCTCTTGTCACAATCCATCCATACATTCATTGTGTCAAGCACGTTGGTACATATGCTGCCATCATCATTTTCTTTCTACTTGAGCCCTTGGTATCAGCTCATTTTTCCCCTCCCCACCTTCCCTCCCTCATGAGCACTTGATAATGTATAAATTTTTTTTTCATGTCTTACACCGACTGCTGTCTTCCTTCACTCATTTTTCTGTTGTCCATCCCCCCGGGAAGGGGTTTTATGTAGATTATTGTGATCGGTTCCCCTTCCCCCCCCCCCCCCCCCCCCCCCCCACCTTCCCCTTGTCCTGGTATCACTATTCTCATTATTCGTCCTGAGGGGTTTACCTGTCCTGGGTTCCCTGTGTTGGGAGCTCTTATCTATACTAGTGTACATGATCTGGTCTAGTCAAATTTGTAAGGTAGAATTGGGGTCATGATAGTGGGGGGTGGGAAAAGCATTAGAGAACTAGAGAAAAGTTGTATGTTTCGTCGGTGCTATACTGTACCCTCACTGGCTCATCTCTTTCTTGTGACCCTTCTGTAAAGGAATGTCCATTTGGGTTTCCACTCTGCACCCCCCCTCATTCACATTGATATGATTTTTTGTTCTGGGTCTTTGATGTCTGATACCTGATCCTATCGATGCCTCATGATCACACAGGCTGGTGTGCTTCTTCCATGTGGGCTTTGTTGTTTCTCAGCTAGATGGCTGCTTGTTTACCTTCAAGCCTGTAAGACCCCAGATGCTATATCTTTTGATAGCCAGGCACCATTAGCTTTCTTCACATTTGCTATGCACCCATTTTGTCTTCAGCGATCATGTCAGGAAGGTGACCATCACAGAATGCCGGGTTACTAGAACAAAGTGTTCTTGTGTTGAGGGAGTACTAGAGTAGAGGCCCAATGTCCATCTGCTACCTTAATACTTAACACAAAAATACGTGTACATAGATCTATTTCCATATCATTATATATAAATATATTTACATATGTACATACCTGTATTTAGACCTCTATAAAGGTCCTTTGCCTCCTAGTTTGATCTTCTGTTTCCTTTTACTTTCCTTTTGTCCCACCATCATGTTTGGCCTTCATTCGCGGTTCAGTAATTCTTCTTGGCTACATTGCCCTTGATCAAGCCCCAGGCATCCTATGCCCTCCTTGCCATTGATTTTAGATCACTTGTTGTACCCTTGTCCCTGGGTTTGTTGACACCCCATTCCTTTTCCCCAGCTCCCCCTCTCCTGTGCTCCCCCCAACCTTTGGTCCCGCTATTTTCTTCTCTGGATTGTTTATCCCGCCTATGCAGAGACAATAATAAGTGCAAACCAAGACAGAGCAAAACGAAATAAGAAAACAACACCAAAAAAACCCAATGACAGAAAAAGAAAAGCCTATAAATAGTTTGTTTGGTGAGCTTTAGGAGTGTTTTCCTGCAGTCTGATGGGGTTCCACGCCCTGGCCCCAAAGTGTATTTTTAGCATCCTCGAGACTTCATTGCTTTGCTCCCCTTGCTGCTCTGTTACACACCCATAGTGTTTTGCCCCAGTGTGGTGGGGTCAGACTGGGCACAATTCCTGCACTGTGCCTCCAGTGTTGTCTCCCGTAGTGCTATGGGTCAGTGAGGGACGTTGTGTGTCGTGGTGGAGCCGGCCTTATGGTCCTCTCTGTGCTTTTGCCTGTCTTATCTCTCATAGTAAAATATAACTGTATTAAGGGAGAGGGCTCCATCCTATCATGTATCTTTGTTTGATACTTTATTATGTAAAACAGATCTGATTGTGGAACTTGCCACCATTCATCATAGTGGTTTTGCTTAATATTGCTTGTGTTTTTAATTTTCGAATTCAAAGTTGTACTTTTAAGCCAAAATTAACTTTTCCCATTGTGCTAGCTTTTGGATATTTTCACTTTTAAGCTTCTTAGTGAATTTCAGGCTTTGTGGAGAAGAAGAGAAGGCAAATCTTAATGAAAGATGTCAGGAAGGCCCTGCGAGTCACATCTGAAGGTGGTGCCAAGGCAGACTTGATCTATATTTGGTCCTGGCAAATCCTCAGGAGAGACTACACGCACTTGCCTTCTCTCCCTCATGCTAGCCTTTTACCTCCTGCTTACTCTTCTCTAATGTCTGCAAGGTGCCGTAAAGAAATGAGTGGACTTATTTAAGATTAATGTAGATTTCTTATAAAAAATAACTTGATAATTTTGAACAACTAACAGCTATAATATTTTTGATGTTGAGCGTTTCTTCTTTTTTCTGCAGAAAACCATAGGCAAAATTGCAACATGCTTGGAGTTACGAAGTGCAGCCTTACAGGTAAATAAGTACTTTTTTTCCTAGTAAGAGGAAAAAGTCATATTTCTGATAAGAAAATACTAGGCAAAATTACTATCTCAGAAGAGTTTTATAGCAATGGGAATTATTTAGTTAAACTAATGCTCTGGAGATGTAATTAATATTTTGAAGACTGTGGAAATGAAATATATAATTTTCTTTTTTGGGGGTTACTTTTTGACCTGAATATTAACAAGAATGCAAAAGGAGAAACTAATTAATGACTTTAAGATTAATTTATTTGGGCCATTTTGGAGATATTTGGCCTTTGCTACTTAAAAAATGTAAAATATTTCTAGATGATGGAATTTTGATGAAATATTTGTAATAAGAACATATAATATGCTTGTTTTAAATTTAGTCCACACAGTCCCAAGAGGAATTTAAACTGGAGGATCTGAAAAAGCTAGAACCAAGTAAGTTTGCTATTTTTTAGAGATTTTTCTGTTAGAAAAATATTTACATCTCAGAATTATTTAACATGTCTTAATCATTCATTTATTATTTTTTGTTAATACTAGCCATACGTGATTTCTGTGCTTTTATAATTTCTACAGGAATTGTTATACTCACTGCCATTGGGTCGATGCTGACTCATAGTGACCCTATAAGAAGGTGTAGAACTGCCCTTGTGGGTCTCCCGAGACTGTAAGTCTTAATGGGAGTAGATCTCCTGTGGAGGGGCTGGTAGTTTCGAACTGTTAACCTTATGGATAGCAGCCCAACACACATCCCCTACGCCACCAGGGAAAATTTTTTCATGCTAGTTTTCTCTCATCTAACTTTATTCACCATTGTTGTGTTTTAATGACTTTTACAAGAGTAATGAGTTGGGTAAACATTTATAGTAGAATCTCTTGGAGAATAGAAAGTTTTACACCTTGGTGCCCATTTAATTTGTATGTCATCAGAAACGGCAGTGCATCCAGTTCAGCTGCTCTACAAATGTTTCTTTGTCCTTCCTAAACATTTTTGAGGTAAATAATTCCTTTACATGTTTTGGCAATTAGATTGCTACCAAGTAAAGTGTTCTTTGCTTGCTCAAAAAAATTTTTCCTAGGGGAAAATGTGTACCATATGGGGAAAGGCATAAGAGTTGAACATACAATTAACTGAATGTAAACCAATATTCTATTTCATTGGGTGAGGGCATCTTTATGTAAAGGAAGAACAGTTTACTGTATCTTTTATGTCAAATTTATAAGTAGAATCATAAAATCATAGTATTTTAGAGGGAAAAATCTCTTACTTTAGACTTGAGGAAAGAGATATATCATTTGCTTTGATTCGCTCAGATCCTTAGTGGCAAATCAAGGTTTAAATATCTGGACTCTTGCTCTATCTAGAATTCTTTTTATAGTAGTATAATTATTCAATGTTTCCATGCCTCAGTTAAGAGGCACAAGGGAAAACTCATCTTCCAAGAACCCAAGATAATGTTAACATGGATTCCGTAAACTGACAGTTTCCAATTTTTTTGTTTAATAGCAGGCCTGCCAAAGACAAATATATTATTTGAGGTACTAGCAGCTCCAGCCCAAGGAAGGAAGTCTCATAGACTATACTGAGGAAGGGAGAGCTCTGGTCACACATTAGGTTAGCATTGGACTAATCAGCAGTTTGAAACCACCAGCTGTTCCGGAGAAAGATGAAGTTTTCTATTCCCCAAAAAGTTTATAGTATCGGAAATCCACAAGGGCTGGTACCTATAGGGACACCATGCATCAGAATTGACTCTATGGCAGTGGGTTTGTTTGTCTAAAGAGGATCTAATTTCTATACTCTTAGTATTGGTAGAATAAAGTAACAGAAAACAATAATACATAGATTTGTTGTGGCTCTGGTGTTTTCTCTAGAATTGTTAGGAAGCCATATATATTTTTCCATATCTTCAGAACACAATCTTTCTGAAGATGGCAAGAATTGAGTCATCTTTAAGTTTAAAAAGTATAATTAATTTGTGTGATAAAGATCCTAAAGTTTTTTTGTTAGAAGTAGTATAATTTTGTTTCTAGAATAGTAGTTACCTAGATCCAGGATAGGCATATAACAATGTAAAATTTTTACCAATTTTTAACTATTGTGTTAATAATTTTATTTTATGGCTTTTGTAAAGCATTAACAAATATTTTGTGTAAGATTATGTTTATAACAGCTCTTTATATACCATATAGATCACCTACTTAAAATACCAATTCAGTGGTTTGTGTGTTTTTTTTAGGGTGATAATGGTATTTTGGGGGGCTCATAGAACTCTTATCACAATCCACCCATACAGCCATTGTGTCCAGCACATTTGTACATTTGTTGCCATCATCATTCTCAAAACATTTGCTTTCTACTTGAGCCCTTGATATCAGCTCCTCATTTCCCCCCCTCCCTCTCTGCCCCCTCCTCTCTCATGAACCTTTGATAATTTATAAATTATTATTATATTGTCATATCTTACATTGTCCGATGTCTCCCTTCACCCACTTTTCTGTTGTCCATCCCCTAGGGAGGAGGTTATATGTAGATCCTTGTAATCGGTTCCCGCTTTCTACTCCATCTTCCCTCCACCCTCCCGGTATCACCACTCTCACCACTGGTCCTGAAGGGATCATCTGTCCTGGATTCCATGTGTTTCCAGTTCTGTACCAGTGTACATCCTCTGGTCTAGCCAGATTTGTAAGGTAGAATTGGGATCATGATAGTGGGGTAGGAGGAAGCATTTAAGAACTAGAGGTAAGTTGTATGTTTCATCATTGCTAGCCTATACCCTGACTAGCTCGTCTCCTCCCCGTGACCCTTCAGTAAGGGGGTGTCCAGTTGCCTACAGATGGGCTTTGGGTCTCCACTCTGCACTCACTCTCATTTACAATGATATGATTTTTTGTTCTTTGATGCCTGATACCTGATCCCATCGACACCTTGTGGTTACACAGGCTGGTGTGCTTCTTCCATGTAGGCTTTGTTGCTTCTGAGCTAGATGGCCGCTTGTTTACCTGCAGACCTTTAAGACCCCACACACTATATCTTTTGATAGCTGGGCACCATCAGCTTTCTTCACCATTTGCTTATGCACACATTTGTCTTCGGTGATTGCGTCGGGAAGGTGTGCATCATGGAATGCCCAATTCAGTGGTTTTTAATGTATTCTCAGAGTTGTACAGCCAATCGTAATCAATTCAGACCATTTGCATCACTTAATATCAAAACCACTCATAAAGTGTCAACCTTAATGCTATAGCTGGAGCAAAGCTTTTGAGACCTTCACTTGTTGATTAAACACTACTGAAAATGAGAAGAAACAACTGCAATCATCCGTTAATAATCAGTATGGAATGTACACACTATGAATCTAGGACAATCGGAAGTGATTTAAAAATGATATATGGAACATATAAAGATCAATATTCTGGACAATAGTGAGCTGAAATGGCCTGGTATTGTTTTTGTTAGGTGTCATTGAATCAGTTCCGACTCACAACAGACCAAAACACTGCCCAGTCCGGGGCCATCCTCAAAATTGTTCTTATGTTGAGTCCACGGTTGCAGCCACTGTGTGTCATTTTGAATCTGACAATCATATGGCTTATTTGACTGGGAATGACAAATTCAAGAGGAATGGCTTTACGTTCATTGCCAAAAAAGAACATTTTAAGACCTATCTTGAAGTTGTCTGTGATAGAATATCTATGTTATCGTTTAGCCCAGTTAATACAAACACTCAATCCTTATAGCAGTAATGAGGAAATTGAAGAATTCTACCAACTTCTTCAGTTTGAAATTGATCATACATGCTGACAAGAAGAATTGATATGACAAAATACCCATTTGTAAACTATCAAGGGTTCATGCGGGAGGGGGGAGCGGGGAGGGAGGGGAAAAATTAGGACCCAATGTCGGGGGTTTAAATGGAGAGAAAATGTTTTGAGAAAGATGTACAAATGCGCTTTACACAATTGATGTGTGTATGGATTGGGATAACAGTTGTATGAGCCCCTAATAAAATGTTAAAAAAGAAAAATAAATAAATAAATAAATAAATAAATAAAAGAAGAAGAATTGATAATTGCTGGTCATTGAAATACAAAAGTTAGGGAAAAAAGAGGAAGGATAGGTAGTTGAAAAATACTGCCTTGGCGATAGAAATGAAGCTGAAGATGTCATGATTGAACTTGTCAAGACCAACAATTTCTTTGCAAATACCCTTCCAACAGCATTAGCCGCAGCTGTACGTTGGATCTCACCAGATAGAATGCATAGGAATCAAAGTGGCTACCATCTTTGGGAAGCTCAATATTAGCAACCAAAACAAGGCCAGCAACCAACTGTGGAACAGATTATAATTTGCTCACATGCAAGTTCAGGCCGAAACTAAAAACAAAACAACAAAAGCCCCACAAATCTACATGAGCTAAAGTATGACCTGAGTGCATCCCACTTGAAATCAGAGAGCCTCTCAAGAACAGATCTGACCCATTGAGTGCCAAGGACCGAAGACTAGATGACAGAGCTAAGACTAGATGAAAAAAGCTAAGAGTCATTACATAGACACGTAACAAAGACAAGTCCAAAGTGGATGTCAAAAGAGACTGAGGCAAATGGAAGAAATAATGATGTAAAAGCCAAATAAAATTTCAAAAGCAGTGTGGTGTTTTTAGTTACATGACATGCATATGAAAACTGGACAGTGAATGAGGAAAAATTCAGAATGCATTTAAATTATGGCATTGCAACGCATCACAGACTGCTGAAGAACAAACACATCAGATATAGCCAGAATACTTAGAATTGAGCATGCCAAGACATTGTCTTAAGTAATTCGGATGTGTTGTCAGGAGAGAACTACCCCTGGAGAAGGGCATCAGGCTTGGTAAAGTAAGATGGTCAGCCAAAGAGGAAGACTCTCAATGAGATAAGTGAACACAGTGGCTGCCACGGGGCGTTCAAGTGTAACAACAATCAGGAGGTTAGGGAGGTCTCGGTGGGGTTTGTCCTGCTGTACAAAGGATTCCTATGTGGGGGAGCCTGCTCATCAGCATTGAGTAATAACACAGCAATGTATTATTCTTCCATGATCCTTCAACATTATGGTCTTATGGTCTGTCTGAAATTCACACTAAGATTTTTAATGTACCAGTCATTTAATTTTCTTACATTAATCTTTGGTTATATAAAAGTTCTTACTTAAATGCCCTTTTAATGAGCTCTGAAAGTACTAAGATTCTAGCCAGCTAAAAAGGAAAAATTATGTACCATCTTATAATACTGTGAGCTTAAGTTTATAACCTAGATTTTCCCATGCAATTTCCTATACATGACTTAATTCTTCCATCAGTCTTTACTCGAAGTGGTATTCCCATTTTAGAACTAGGAAACTGAGATTCCAAGTAGTTATGTGAATGTTCAAGTCTTATGTTGTGAATATACTGCTGGGATTTGTTTTCATGCCTTTTAATTTTATCTTCTGCCACGTCTTTTGCTCATCAAAGTTCAGTTATGCAGGCCTTTCTGTTCCTTGAACAAGTCAGACCAGTTCCTGCCTCAGAGCCTTAGTATTGCTTTAGTTTCTTCTTGAAACCTTTGTTCTAGAGCTACTGGTAGGTTGTTCCCTTCTTTCTCAGTCTTGACATACGTGTTTTCTAATGATTTTTAAAAAATAGTTTTATTGGCAGGTAATTTACATATCGTACAATTTAATAGTTACTTATACTAAGAAGGGTTGTGTAGTCATCACCACAATTAATGTCAGAACATGTTCTTCTCTCTAATACTTGTTGTTAGCTCCCTATTTTCCCTCAACCTTCTCTTCCATCCCTCTACATGATTTTTAAATCCTGTTGTCTCTGTAGATTTACCAATCCTAGATTTTATATACAGAAAATATAAAACAAGAAGCAAAAACAAAAAACCCATAACAATGAAAAACAAAACAAAAACCTCAACAAAAGAAGCAGACAATATTAAACATTGAAAAGACTGTAAAATCGGTCAAAAAGGAGATCAAATTATAAGGTGTTACATTTCAACCTAACTACATCTGCCATATTTGACTGTACAGTGCTCTCTGTCTTATAGCAAGGTTATATACACTTTGATCAGAGGGAATTCACTGGTGGCTTAATCCTTGTGGGGACCCTGCAAATGGATTTTTGGTTTCCACTGTTGTACAAAGTGGGTGTTTAGAATAAGGTCTGACACCGTTCCCGCTTCTAGATTTGGATTTTGTTTGCAATCCTGGATCACACAAGCTGTGTGCTTCTTCCATGTGGTCTCAGTTGACACCTCACTTAGATGGCTGCTTGTTTGAGGACATGTAAGTCTTCAAACCTTTAAGACCTCAGAGGCTATTCTCTCTGATAGCTGGGCACCAGGTGATTTTTCACAACAGTTTGCTGTAGCACCCACGTCTTCAGTGATCTCTTCATGAGAGTGAGTATCAAGTGGGAGCCGTGTCATAAGAACCAACTTAGGGCTGTGATTAAGCATAAGCCCCCCTTTGACCTAGTTTCCTATCCAGCCCTTGGTTACTCAAGCTGTGTGCTATCAACAACTGAGACTTTAGACTCGATCCTTTTGAGGCACACAACATCCTTTATGGCCATACCAGAAGGATTCAGTTAGGAAAGCCCACTAAATAAACTGGGCTTTCCTTAAACTCTCTCACAGCAGATTTATACCCTCAGACTTAAGGCTGAACTGCCATCGTGTGAGAAGAAACAGATGATTGCTGTCCCAAGGTTATGGAATTGATGGTCATTAGATTTTGATTCAGATCTCTTGAATTGTGGCTTGGGATTACGTTTACTATTTTAATGCTTTCATTGCTTTTTTTTAAATGACGTGTTAGTCTGGCAGGCATGGTTCTGCTTTTGTAAATGAGTTTCATTGAAAGTTTTATCGTATCCCCAACCCTCATTGTTCATGTAAATAATGCATAGTCACTTAAGGTTTGAATCTGGTACAAGTCAACAGTTCATGTATTGTGTTCTGAAAGCTAGCCTGTAAATGTATGATTTTCTTTTCTCAGCAGTGTTTTAAATTGTATGCTATTGGCTAGCCAACTCAATGACACTTAAAAACGACCTCTAACAACAGCCACCATTGGCTAAAGATTTCGTTTTGAAAGACTTTCTTGTGCACTTACACAATCATTCTATCTGTAGGCTTAAAGGCTACTATAAGCATCTATCATCATGTTTATTAGTTGATGATTCTCTTTAGTAAGTTGTAAGTTCAATATACAAGGACAGGAACCCATCTGTGTTGCTTATTACCAGATCATCGACACCTAAAGCAGTGATTAGGAACATGTGGTTACTCAGTGCATGCTTATTGAAGAATGAGAAAGTGAGGGAGAGGGAAAGAGTCCTCTTGTGGAAAAAGAGCGGAAAAACAAGAATGAATGAGAATTTAGCCACAAGTCTAGACTTCTCTCTCCTTGGAGGATCGAGTAGAATTATATGTAAGTTGCCTGATAAACAAATTGGACTCCTGTTGAAGTAAGTTACATAATTACAACCTGTGCTCTTGGGACAGTCTCCTCTGGGATGCCAATAGATAATGCCCATTTTAGCTCTAAACTACGGGACTCCAGAGTTAGAGTCAGCTGAATACAAAATCATGGGAACCTTTGGCTTCTCCAATTAATGCTGCAAATTCACCATGTTATAATCCCAGGTAGTTACTGGGAATTTATAAGCCAGAAATGACAGTGTAAATATCATGAAATAAACAAAGACCTGGAGTTAGAGAAAGCCAAAAAGGAAGAGTACTCTCACTATATCATACGCTGAAAGAATTGAACATTGTATTTTGGTGTATGCAAGTATATGTGTATATGATGAGGAGCTTCAAAACGAATGAAAAAATAATGCAGTTATGTCACAAACATCTTGAAGCCCTTTTACGTGTGTGCATTGTCCCTAGGTGATGCAACTGGTTAATGCGCTCAGCTTATTCACCAAAAGATAAGTTTGCATCCACCCAGAGACACCTCAGAAAAAAGACCTGGTGATCTACTTCTGAAAATCAGCCATTGAATATATCCTGTGGAGCAATTTACCATGGGGTTGCCATGAGTTAATTCTCCATGGCAAGGTGTTTTGTTTTGGTTCGGTTTTATTATAATCTGAGAAATATAGCCTTACTATTATAAATTTTACCAGTTTGATAGGTATGAGAAATCTACTCAGGATGTAGGCTGAGAGGTACTTATAAACCTCTAATTGATCATCTTTGATGCCAGTCTTTTCATTAAAATACTCCAGAGAGGAGACTGTTTCCTCAGTGTGTCCTGTGCCTTACCTTGGCCCTTGTACACAAGAGAGCTCTTTTGGGGTTCAGTTTCCATATGGGCTCAGAAATTATAAAACTTGCTTTCCTTGGGGATCTGACAGTATTGCAAATAGACTGGTACTTGGAGGATACAGTGAACACTTTATTTTTGCTAAGCCCTTCTGAACAATTGCAGTGTGGCTCTGGAACAATGGTAAGGTTAAGAATTTGTTTAAAAAGTGAATTAAAATGTGAATATGCATAAAAGATTTATTAAATACTAATAATCTTAAGCTAATTTTTTTGGTTCTAATTAATTTATTCTTCTCTGTTTTATTCTAGTCCTAAAGAATATTCTCACATATAATAAAGAATTCCCATTTGATGTTCAGCCTGTCCCATTAAGGTAAACTTGTGTTTGTTCTTTTATCTTTTTAATTTATACTCTTTTGCAGATAGTTCTGTTTTTGTTTTTAGTCATCATTGAATGTCTTACCCAGGAAATGTGTAACCATGAGGCTTCACAAGAACATAACGCTTTTTGTTTTATTTCTACCCAGAGTCCATTTTTAATATTGTGATCACGCAGTTTACATAGTTTTTCCTCTGTGTTTTCGATTTTTAGATAACTAGAGACATATTAAACTTACAACTATGCAGCTCATTTTTCCACTCCATATTAGGCTTCCCAGATCTATACATGTTAATATATATTTATGGATTTTTTTTCTTCCTTTCCACTGTTTTATTTTTCTTTCATTGTATCAATATCACTCCATCTTAGTTACTGTATCTTTGCAGTAAACTTTGATATCCACTAGTAAGATCTCTCCTCTTTGATCTTCAGCATTGCCTGAGCAGTTTTTGGTTTTTATATTTCCTTATGCGTTTTGGAGCTAGTCCAAAAAGAATGTCCCAAGATTTTGAATCTGTCATTTAGGGAAACTATCATGTTGGTATTATTAAGATGTCCACTCACTCGCCATTTGCTAGATTTAACCCCAGATCCTGGATGATTTTTTTCCCCCTTGCTGCTCTAAATGGTACATTTTAACTTGAATTCATGGAATTCTTAATTTGCTTCTGTTGATCTAGAATTCAAAGACCTTGATACATTTATTTATAAATGTCAGTGGTTTGTAGAATTGTGATGTTTTCAAAAATATCATCTGCAATAAGGTCTTCTTTCCTCATTTTGAACCCTAATCTCCCCCTTCTCGTAGCTCATTTCAGTTGTCAGACGTACACTATAATGTTCAGTGGAGCAGGCGGTGGAAGTCAGCTTGGGCTCAGGCTCAGGCTCGCTTTGAAGATCACATTTCAGTGATTTACCCTCAAGTACCCTGATTTTCTCCCTTAAGAAAAATATGATGAGGTACAATATTTTGGGGGGAGTGAAAATATACACAGCAAGACTCGCTCCCATCCGACAGGTTTTAGACATCTGAGGGGAGTTTCAAAAATTCATGGAAAATGGAATTAAAATATAATGGAATTTTTCTCTAAATTTTTGGAGGTCACTTTGTAATTATCAGTGACAATGATTAAATTCTACATGTAACATCAACATTCTTGTTACTCCTTTTCTAGTTGTTTCATTCCAACTTACTCCCTAACCCCAACCTTCTGTGCTTTCAAATATCTGTTGACCCTTTGGTCTTATATAGAGGCTTCATTAAAACAAAAAAAGGTGTTTTAAGTGTCTCAATGGTGACAATCATTGCTTAGTTTAAAGGTGACTTCAAAAGAAGTTTCAATTCAAGGTTAGAAGAGCAACTCAGGGCCATAGTCTTGAGGACTCCTCCAGCTTCAATAAATCCAGTAAGTTTGGGTTCTTTAATAATTTGAAGTTCTGTTCCATATTTTTCCCTCTTTCGTATCGGAATTTTTCTATGATGTTTCTGATCAGAATGCTTAGTAGTGTAGGCAGGTACCATCTAGTTCTTCTGGTCTCAGGGCAGTGGTTTATGCAGATAATTGGTCCTTTAGTCCAGTTCCTTCTCTGATTCTTGGGTTTCCTTTAGTTCTCTTTTGTTCCAGATGGACACGGACCAATTATTGTATCTTACATACATATAAGGCGCTTTGTAGCTTACTATTTTTCTATCTTTTTTTACGTAGAAGAATTTTAGCACCCGGTGAAGAAGAGAATTTGGAATTTGAAGAAGATGAGGAAGAGGGTGGTGCTGGAGCAGGATCTCCTGACTGTTTCCCTGCTAGAGTTCCTGGTGGGTGTCACTCATTAAATATAAATGTAACTTAATCTAGGGCCCAGGTGTTTAGGACTTGCTGATATTTGTCATCAAGCCAATTTTGACATGTGGGGACTTGATACGATATAGTAGACCTGCCCTAGTAAGTTATTGAGGCTGTAAATCCTTACAGGAATAGAAAGCCCCATCTTTCTCCTGCAGGATGGCTGCTGGTTTTAAACTGCTAACCTTGCGGTTAGCCACTCAACGCGTAATCCAGTATGCCACCAGCACTCCTTTGTTGATACTTGATATTGTTGTTGTTAGGTGCCATCAAGTCGTGGCTGACTTACAGGACCCTCTGCACAGCAGAACAAGACACTGCCTGGTCCTGCACCAGCCTCACCATCATTGTCATGCTCGAGCCCATCACTGCAGCCACTAGCCACCAAGGATCTTCCTCTTTTATGCTACCCCTCCACTTTACCAAGCCTGATGTCCTTTCCCAGGGACTGGTCTTTCCTGATAATATGTCCAGAGAACATAAGATGGTGTCTCCCCAGCCTCACTTTTAAGGAGCATTCTGGCTGTACTTTTATGATAGATTTGCTGGTTCTTTTGGCAGTCCCCACAGTACATTGATTCTTTGGTCTTTCCTTATTCCTTGTCCAACTTTTCACGTGCAGATGAGGTGACTGAAAATACCATGACTTGAGTCAGGCCCACCTGAATCCACAAGGTAACATCCTTGCACTTCAACACTTGGAAGAGGTCTTGGGCCGTAGATTTACCCAATGCTGCTTCCATGAGAACTAATGGTTCAACTTTTATCTGGTGCTTATCATTAGGTGAACCTGTTGGCCCTAAGGTGCCTGTTTAGTAGTCTGGTCTTGGAGATAATAAATTACTGCTTTGAAACACAGACCATCAGTCCATTGAAATGTACAATTTTGACCCAATAGGAAAAATCTTTCTTTGCCTGTGATGTGCACTATAAGTTACAGCAAACATTTTCAAAAGCAAAAATAATAGAATGAAAAAAGACCTAGCTGTCTTCTATATTTGAGGACAGGTCCTTACGGATTTCACTTTTCTGTTTGCCCTCTGCTTTCTTCCATGGTCTTAACAGACTCACTGTCCCAGGGGCTGGTGGTCCAGTCAGACCTGGTTTTTCATACTCACTATTGTCTAGAGCAGCGGTTCTCAATCTGGGTTGCGACCCCTTTGGGGGTCGAACGACGACCCTTTCACAGGGTCGCCAGATTCATAACAGTAGCAAAATTACAGTTATGAAGTAGCAACGAAAATAATTTTCTGGTTGGGAGGTCACCACCACATGAGGAACTGTATGAAAGGGTTGTGGCCTTAGGAAGGTTGAGAACCACTGCTCTAGAGTGTCTTTGGCCATCCTCAGAAAATGACCCCAGAGCCGATCCTGCTCTGGCCTAGGGCCTTCACTCTTGTCAGCTGCCTCTTGGAACAGAGAAGTTGAAGGTGTGTGATGAGGGCCTACACATGTCCCTCCCCTTGATTCTGTACCAGTGGCCAGGGGATGAGGGGCACTGCTCACTGAGCACCATGCCCATGCTGGTCCTGTGGAGACTCTGGTGCCCAGCCTAGACAGAGGCGTCCCTTGCCCAGTGCTCTTTTCCTTGTGTGGTAACAGAGGCAACAACACACTCAGAGGAGGACCTGAGCTGCTGTTAGGTCAGACACAGTTTTAGAAACGTTCCTGACTGAATTAAACTTGTTGCCGTTGTGTTGATTCCAACTCAAGCATCCCTATAGTGCCGACAGAACCGCCCCATGGGGTGTCCATGGCTGTGATCCTTCCAGAAGCAGATGGCTACAGCTCTCCTACAGAGCAGCTGGTGTGTTCAAACTGCTGACCTTTCAGGAGCAGCCGAGCATTTGAACCACAGTGCAACCAAAGACCCTGCAAGTAATCAGATCTTCATTTAATCGAGTTAACCACTTTGTACCATCACCCACAACTCCCTCTTAGCTCATATGCAAGGGATGTGAAACGGTGCCTCCCTGTGAAGAGAGCAGTGTTTTGCGGGTGACAGTGTTGGGGTTCTGTGTCTGAGAAAAGAGTGAAACCTGAGTGGAGTCAGCGGTACAGTCCTCAAGGACAATCTTTGGTGCCACATGTGATGACAGCACAGTACAGAGCGCAGATCTCGCCATTGCTTGTTGGGAGCCTTCGCAGCAGAGGATATTTTATTATTATTTCTTGTATCATCATTTGCAAGTCTGACTAAAATTTGTCAGTATGCTACTCAGCTGACAAAATCTGTAGACTCAATAGGAACAGAAAAGCTACTCAGATTTTTAGTTTATCAAAAAACCTCTTTGATATCTTGTGCCATGTTAACTGATCTGTACTGTTAGAGAGGGGACGTTTTAGCTCTCTGTCTTGGCTTTAAAATGTACGCCAACTCAACATAACTGGCATTATTAGATAGATTTTTTGAGCAGCAATTTCTGCTACTAAATAATTCATTTTCTAAATTTTTTAGACCAAATGTGACTTTAAAAAAAAGCTTTGCTCTGTGTATTGTAAACAGTGATTAGAGCCTCAAAACAATCAGCACCTGTACTTACCCCATGGTTGTGACTTGTCGTTAAGTGACTACAATTTGGCTGGATCCATAGTTGCTTTTCTACAAATCATGCTCAATGGATAGGATAACTTTTGCATTACTACCCTGTTTCCCTGAAAATAAGACAGTGTCTCTATTAATTTTTGCTCCCAAAGATGCGCTAGGTCTTATTTTCAGGGGATGTCTTATTTTTCCATGACGAATACGGTACACATTTATTGTTTTATTAAAAGAGACCTTGCACTTCCTGTCTGTTCCGGCTGCGCTGTGGCCAACAGTGAGCTGCGCGGCAGTGCCCGCTGCTATGGTCCAGAGTCCAGAGTTACAGTAGCTTCGGGGGCCCTTATTTTGGGGGAGGCCTTGTTTTGGGGGGGATGCCTTATATTTCAGCAAGAGGCAAAACTGTAAATAGGTCTTATTTTCGGGGGATGTCTTACTTTCTGGGAAACAGGGTAGTTAGGTGGCTGTTTTAGTTGTTGTTAGGTACTTAAGTCGTCTTAATGTCCCCTATTTCACCTTTCTTACTTCTAATATCCATTGCAATGACTACACAGAACTCAGAGACAAAATTCATGATCAAATAGTTTATTAAGGAAGTTCACAAGTTGTAATGCCTGTGAGAAATGCTCAGGTTTCAGTTGTTTCCCAGGACATGTTTACAAAGTTCTGTCATGTCTGCTATTAAATCTCCAAAGGACATACCACTCTGCTATAAGACTTAACTTGAAGGCATTCTGCTTAAGCTCTGGGTTAGCAAACCCAGCTCCCTGAATGAAATGGAACTCAGCTCCCTTCTGGTCAACCCGTCCAACTTCTCCAATTAAGTGCTTAGAGGCACACCACTCCGAAAGCCAATCTCCTGCCCAAAAGCACTCAACTTGCTCTGTCGGTTAGGAGGTTCATCATTCCGTCATGTCCTGGTTCTGTTGCTGCTCCTCTAATGGTATAGCTGTCATCTGATCCAAGAGGTTCAACTGCACAGGAATCTGGGGTCCAGAGAACACGCTCCACTCCTGGCTCTTGCTGATAAGGAGATCCCTTCTCCTTCTCAGAGGCTTATTTTATACACAGCAGGATGGCATGGTGTGTGTAAATCCTGTTAGCTATTACTCACCAGTGAATCCTATCAGTATCTTCCCCCGCCTTCTTACCAGACCCATGCAGGGAAAGGTCATTTGGTAGAGTAAGACTTTGGCTGTAAAAACCATTAAGTTATTCACTGCCCCTGCAGTGCTGCTTAGTTGATTCTGATTCTTAGTGACCATTTGTACCTCAAAAGGAAATGCTGCTCCGTTCTGAACTGGTCTCTTAGTTATTGCTGTTTGTGCCTATTGTTGCAGAAACTGTCAGTCTGTCTTGTTGATGGTCTTTCTCTTTTTCAGACATTCTAGTAAACAGTTGTTTGGTGAGACATTTCAATTGGTACATCGTTAATTTTTTTTTTTTTTGCCAGTGACTTCAGGACAGTTTGGACATTTTCGGTCAGTACTATAGGCTCCTGATCATTCACTACCTCCTGAAATTGTTGACCACTGACCAGTTCTTTTGGAGAGTGTTACTCTGAATTCCTTCCATCTTCTTTTGATGCATCATTCAATATTGTGCCTGTAGATGCAATCCTTTAATAATCCAAGGTTTGACTTTTGTCTTCAGTTCTTTCAGCTGAGAAAAGTGGGCTCTTCCTTTTAGTTTCCTAATGACTGGTCTTTGCACATTTCATTATAATACTTTGTCTCTTGAGCTGCCCTTTGAAATCTTCTGCTCAGCTTTTTTTACATAATTTTTTCTTCCACTTGCATTACCTACTCTACATTCAAGAATAAGTTTCAGAATATCTTCTGACATAAACATTGCTCTTTTCTTTATTATTATTTTTTTTTTAGTTACTTCATGTATGGTGTCCTTGATAACATCTCACAATGTGTCTGGTCTTCAGTCATTAGAGTTCCATGTATCAGATCTGTTACATGGTCTCTAAAATCTGAGATGGTCTCTAAATTTAGACGGAATATACCCAAAAGTTATACTTTGGCTCTCATGGACTTTAATTTTGTTCAGCTTTAACTTGAACTTGCTTATGAGCAATTGATGGTCTACCAGCTGGCCCTGGCCCTGTTTTGACTGATGATACTCAATCTTCTCCATTGTTTCTTTCCACAGATGTAGTCAATTTGATTCCTGTTGTGTTCCATTCAGCAATGTTTGCATGTATAGTCACAATTTTATGTTGTTGAAAAGGGGTTTGCAATGAAAAAGTCATTGTTCTTGCAAAATTCTACCATGTGATCACTGTCCTTTCTGTACCAAGGCCATATTTTCCAACTACTGATCCTTTTTCATTTATAACTTTTGCATTCCAATTACTAGAAATTAGCTGCATCTTGATTTCATGTTTGCTCCATTTCAGAACATAGAATTTGGTTAAAAAAA